CCGGGTGGAGGAAGAATCCGTCGCGCCTGAAAGCAGGGTCACGGTGCCGAGAAAAAGGGAAAGGGAGCAACCGGCCCGAAGAGGAGGGCTTATTCAACCCCCAACTCTCCTATCCTTCTAGGGAGTGAACATGGTTTTCAACGAGCCCATTCACAAGATACTTCCCAAAATCAAAAACAAACCTTACTTCAAGTGACTCTCGAGGATGTTTGGAGACCCGTCGACAAAGAATGCGGCCTTACGTTGTTTGTATCATAGAGATGTTGGCCATTTGATGGGGAATTGCAAGGGTTATAAATCATTCCTCGAACAATTGGTGCGAGACGGGCACCTCAGGGAATTCATCGACAGGGGTCGTTCCAGCGGGTCGGCGAGGGAGAAAGCCGAGGTGCCAACTGAGGTAGCACCCGTTATTGATGTTATTCATGCCTGCACAGTGGAGGGGCCTACATACAACACCCTCCGTGCTGAGTTACAAAGGGTCTCTCAAGCAGTTAGGGTCGACGAAAGGGGTGATGAGCGGCCAGCCAAGAAGCCGCGGAGGGGTGCTAAGGTTATCCAGTTTTTCGATGCTGATCTTGGCGGGGTAGTCCTCTTCCACGAGGATGAATTGATAATCACTGTGCGGGTCGGTAAGTTCGACGTCAAGAAGATCTTGGTGGACTCGGGCAGTTCTTCCAAGGTAATGTACGATCACCTCTTCTGCAAGATGGAACTCTCTCAGAGGGATCTGGAACCCGTAAAAGTCTCTCTCATTGGTTTCAATGGTTCTAGCGCCCTACCACTTAGAAAAATCACCCTAATGGTACGAGCGGGGGTGGTGACCACGCCAGTGAAATTTGTGGTGGTAGACTCCGACTCCCTTTACAATGCTATTATGGGGAGATTATGGTTGCATGCAATAAAATATCCAGATGGGACTGGAGGTCTTTGACAATCATTGCTAATTCAGGTGTAAATATTCCTCAGAAAAATAGACAAAAGTACGCAAATTGGAACCATAAAAATAGTCAATTGAGCAAAACCCTTCGAGCTGATACTGACTTAAGCTTCGGAGGGGATAAGTCGGGCACACTTCTGGCCCCCTTTTTTCTGACCCTGTTGTTTCAGGTTCGCCAACGTGGAGATCGCTGTCTCATACTATTGCAGGAATTATCCCGTGCAGTTTGATATCAATCATCGTCTTCACTAGCAATGCTTGGTTCATCTTGTCACTACCACTTTTACTCTCAATCATGTTCCACAGACTCTAATAGAGGAACTGACATTGATTTTCTATGCAGTGGCTCATATTAATCTAGTTTTGACCCTCACATGGAATACACCAACGAAATGACATTATAACTAAATGTTAACTCAGAAGCATATATGATAAATAGTATCAGAAAAAATATATAATAAACCATGACGAAGCGTCATGTAAGGGATCAGAACAGTGGAAGAGAGATAGAGAAGGGGAGAGGCTTACTTGAATAAGAGCCACTAGCAATATTCTCGCATACAATCAAAAAAGTTAGATACTTCCACAGCTAAAATGAGGAGATGAAAGATATTTACGTAGCTTACTGTATTAGACCTTGGAAGTTTAGAAATTGGCGTTGTAGATGAGGGGTGAGAGACGTGAACGAGGTGTGGAGTTGAAGTTTAGAAATGTGGGAGTTATCCACTTAAAGCAATTCCAACAATGCTATTTAAAATAACTATTCAAAATATATTTAAATATTATATTATCTACTTTATCTAATCACTTTTTCAAATTTACTCTAACAACGCTATCTATTTTAGCTAACCACTTCAACTACTTTTAACTAACTTTCAATAATAAAATTCAAAAAATAGCAATTCAATTATAAATTGTATAAATTTAATCCATTATGTGCTACAAGAGTAAATATCATAAAATACTTGGGAGATTTTGCTGAATTTTTAAAATTTTTGGGAAAATTTTGCTGAATTTTAATCAACCCATCATCTTCCCCATTCGGATCAACAATACAAAATTACAAATTAATCCAATCAGACAAGACCCATCAAGTAAACCAATACCCACATGATTGGGTAAAATATAAACGAACAAAAAATAGATCTGAAAGCCTCCTTGAATTCGGAGATTTGATTGTCAGTTAGTTGTTCTACCATTCCCTTCGCTTTGTGTGTATGTGTGTGTGTGTGAGAGAGAGAGAGAGAGATTTTTTGGAGAGAAAGAGGGGGAGGAGGAACGACAGAGAGACCATACCAGTGGAGCCTTCAGTCGGTGGAGCTTCAGTGAGCTTCGAGTGCTGTGGAGCAGGGTGTTGTGGAACTTATGTGCTTTGGAGCTTCAGTGAGAGAGAGAGATAGAGAGTGGAGAGGAAATTAGCGCCAGCGAGAGAGAAAGAGGCTAGCTACATCCAGCGAGTGAAACTAGCGTAATGAGAAATAGACAGCAAAATTACTAGTTTGTTAGAGCCAAATTTTAGGAAAAAACTATCTAAAATAACTAACCAGAGCTCTTTAATGAGCTTGTTGGAGTTGCTCTTAGGGAGGTAGTTATTAAAAGAGTTGAGAATATTTAAGAGACTCTGGTAGTTTTTAAATCATTAAATTAAAAGGGTTCAGAACGTTTAGGAGTCTTGGGTAGTTTTTAAATCATTAAAATTTTGAAAAATTAAGAATAAGCTTTTGGAGGGCTCTCCTTATTTGTAAAAACATCTCTTTATAATATAGAGATTCTCCCATTCACCATTTTAGTGTCCTATGTTCACTCAATTACTTGCTAATATCTTTATGCAGTTACTTAACCAGCCCATCTGAATTTTTTTTTTCCCTTTCTGCTTGACTGCTCACTTTTTTTTTCCTCTCCACCACCTTGCCTTTCTTTGTCTTTCTTGATCTATCGCTTTTCTGCTAGGGGTGCAATTTGAGCAGGGCCAATCCGAATTCAATTCGACCTAGCCCGAAAAAATAAAGTTTGGATTAGAATTTTTAATATTTGGATTGGGTCTGGGCAAAAAAACTCCAACCTGAATTGAATTCGGGCAAGCCTTAGGTTGAGACCTCAGGTTGTCGGCTCAGCCCGAATATTAAAATCGGGTTAAACCAGAATATACATAAATATATAAATATATTTAACTAGGGTTAGTATTTATCTTCACTCTTCAGAGTCCAGACTTTCACTTCACTTCAAGTTTTCACTCCTATGCCTCCATCACTCTCAGATTCCTCTCTCACTCTTCACTTGTCTCTCATCTAGTCTCAGACTCTTAGCCTCCCGCTCTCACTCATCACTCCTCCCTCTTTTATCAACCCGAATTAAGTAAGTCGAGCATAACCCAAAAATAGCCCGAATTAAGTAACCCGAATTCAAACCGAACCCGCTCAAATTAAATCCAGGCAGTACTTAGGTTGAGGTAGAGTTAGAGTTAGCATTACGGTTGACGATTATATACTTAGAGTTGGGCTATAGTTGACCTCTCAACCCACTCGAGTTGCACCCCTATTGTCAAGTGTCACATTGTTGAGATATCATAAACCCACAACTTGAAAATACACTTTAGATGAATACATTCCAATTTTATATGTACGTAATACTATTATGTGCATCACACGGGGTCAACATTAGTGTATATATAACAATTAATTTTTTCGTTTTTTGGGGGAGGGGGGAGTTTGAGAAGCATTCCCTCCCACTTTTCTTATTTTTTAGAATTTTTATTTAATTAATTACAAGGTTAGGTATTCTCCAATCAACAATTGACCAATATAACTACCTTTCACTATTTTATCAATTAAACACCTCTAATTCAATTTTTTTTAAAATTAATTTCAATCCCATATAATTTAATAATTCTTGAATTATCCATGTTATGTGATGGAAAAAAAAGGTTGGATGAAATTTGCAACAAATCATGACTCAATAAATTCAAAATTTGAGATAATAAATATTTTTGATCAAATATTGGCTTGTAGTCATAGTTTTTGTCGTGCAATGATGCAGATATGGGGATATAATGATCACTGTAAACATAGTTTTTGTTGTGGAATGATATAGATATGGGGGGTATAACCATTGTAATCATAATTTTTGTCGTGCAATGATGTAAATATGGGGATATAACGACCGGTGAACTATTACGCTTTTTTCCAAGGATGGCGGCTTCCAAGCTCACCTCCTAGTTGTCGTCGTTCGATTACTTCCTTTTCTACTACGTGATTTCTTCCTTTTCCACAAAGTGATTGGTTAGTGATCTCAGCATATGATTTGAGTTGTTTTTCTCTCGATTTTGGTTCTTAGCACCCAAAATATCTATTAATACAAACTGGATAGATTCCGGATTGATTACCAATAAAAAATTGGATAGATTTCATCTCGTAACTTCTGAAATTGATTCAAAAGTTATTTTTTGGCATGATAAAAGTCTCAATAACTAATATATCCATTAAATACTGAATACCAATAATAATAAGAAGGTCGCGTCCCCATTAAACCAAATATTTACTTCCTAAAAAGTAGTACTAACTTGTATCTAATCTATGTGCAAAAATAGCAACCAACAAGGCCTTTATAACCGAAGGACAGCTGATGTGAGAGAGAAATGCTGGAAATCTCTTTAATGAAAAGAAAATTTATTATTTCCAAATCAGCTATCTTTTTTTGGGTATGAAAAGGGGAAAAAAAAAGAACTCCACAGGAAGAACATCATCTGCTTACAAACAGAGTGTGAAACCCTATCCACCATCTACATTTTACCCATCAAACAACAACTCTAAGAATGCATGAACGACTCATCACAACCTAGCTACAAGTGAGTACAATGTGGCCCCAAAAAAACGAATTAACAAATCGAAATGAAAAAAAAAAGAAGTAGAAATGTGGGTAAAAAGACCAAAATTCACTTTTAGAGCGGCCCAATGCACGAATTTCCCCTCATTGTACAATTATTTCGACTCGAACTCTTGACGCTAAACCCAAAAACCCATCTTCTTTGGAATAGCGACAGAAAGTTAACAATGCCAAGTAGCTATATGTGAACTTGCCTTATCGATAGTACTGGCATACCAAGCATACACGAGCTCGATCTCAGACTACCGTAGTTGTAAAAATTGCCGCCACCCCCACCACCGCCACCCCCCATAATACTCAAACCAGCATCGTCCGGCGACCTAATCATTGCCTCCGGCAACACCACTGCCCCTCCATTTTCCCCCTCATCACCACTCTCATTCTCATCATTATCATCGTGATCAGACTGATTGGTGTTCTTATCATACTGGGCTTCGACAATATCATTCATCTTTTCTTCTTCTTCTTGAAACACTTCATTGTCATCATGAGAATCCAAAACGCCGTCGTCCAGGGGAACGAGATGCAGAGTGAGACGGCCATTGGATCTGTGAGCCCTGAAGTACCCGTGATGCTTCACTTTCTCTTCTGTTATTACCAATCTTCCATCGCCGGTGTAGCATTTCTTCAACACCCACGGCATGTGTGACGGCAAGTTCCCGGTACGTGCCAGCGATGGCATGGGCGGTGGATAATGCTTCTCTCTCTTCTCTCTCTTCATCCCCCACCGTAGATCTCTCTCCCCAACACCACCACCACTCCCACCACACCCTTTACTCAATGCCACTGCATCATCATCATCATCAGTTGTTAGGTCAAAACAACTCTCCATGCCAATGCAATCGCTAAAATCTGAGGCATAGCTTTGGGGTGATGATGCTTTTGGGCAATGCATGAGATATGGAGAGGAAAAAGAAGGGTGTTTCTGAGAGAGAAAAGGAGGGTTTGTGGGGGTGGTGTTTGGTGGTTTGATTCTACAGATGGGGATGTGTATGAGACGGCGTTGCTGGGGTATAAATAAGCGGGTGGCTTATCGAGAAGTGCAGTATTTGCTGAGAGAGAGAAAGAGAGGGGGGAGAGATTGACAGTGCCAGCTAATATCGCGCTAGGCTTGCAATTTCTAAAGTTTGGGTATTTCCTGGCTTTGGGATATGCAGTTATATGATTTTACATGGTAAATCTTCTTGTAATAAGAAAAGAATAGAAATAATAAATGAGATTAAATATTTAGAAAAAAAAAATTAAGTCTTCTCTTGTATATTTTTTTTTTCGAGAGCAATCTACTCGTACATATTGATATAACGTATTGACAAAATCAATCATGTCATTGAATTAATAATATGTCTCAATATTAATCCACTCATATACCTAGCTTGTCCTGGAATCAAATTAGTCACGATATAATATGATTTTTTTAATTGATAGTCTTTATTTGAATTTAATTTTTATTATTTTGAGAGTACAAATTAAAAATACCCTTATCCATTCCAAAATCAAATTATATATGTTGAGTATAATGAATATAAATGATTATTTGCTAATATATATAAATGATTAAAGAAACGGTAGAATTTATATTAAGAAGATATGGCACTAGAAAATCTAGTTCTATTTCTTCTCATAGGTCAACATTCTCACAGTGCCTAACCTTCCCTAGCAAGCAGATGAGCAACAAAATTTCCGAAAAATAAATAAACAAATGAAGAATACGCTTAACATCAACAACAATGATACCCAGAGAAGAGAACTCATCTGCATTATCATCTAACAACTTCATTACCGTAACTGAGTCACCTGCCGACTCAATTTCATCACACCCAATTCGTCTAGCAAATAAAACAACTTCCTTTACAGCAAAAATCTGTCGATTGCGCATCACACTGAGCAATTAGCTTCTTTGATTATTTGCTAATATTGAGTTAGATGAACTTGAATAAAATATATGATTCACACACACACACATATATATATTTTAATTTTTTTTTTTTTTCCTCTTCTTTTCTTTTTTTTTTTGAATTGAATGTGAGGGACCTATTATTGCAAAAAATCGAGGAGAATCATAATTAAAAATATCCATATAAGTTCACAAACAGTCCAAAACAATTAGGTAGCTATTTTTTTTTTTTTGATTTACAATTAGGTAACTAATTGGGTAAGTAAGTAATTAAAAGACTACAAATGTAATTAATGATTGGGATCCGATGCTTAAAAAAATTTAAAAAAATTAGGGGCCCGTTAGAGAAAGAGAGAGAGAGAGAGAGACAAAGTGTGGATGAGTGTTGTTGTACTGATACGGTTCTAGTTATTGTTACGGCAGTGATATTGTGCTGCTACACGTGGTTATTAAATTCACACGTGGGAGGATTTTATGTTCCACGTGTTGGGTTTTTTGCGTTTTCTGTAGTTGTCACAAGCTAGGGACCCTCTGGAAAAGAAACACTGCAGCTCCTCCGTACGATGCATTATGAGATTGAGATCAACGGATGAAGTACGGTGTTGGTGGTTCTTTAAAGTACAACAGAGTGTGTTGGATTCCTGGTCCACTTGGCCAAAGACATAAAGATTTTCCTCCACGCGGAGGGACGCCGCATCCCATGCAAGCAATTATACTTCCATCCCTACAAATTAGAGATAATACTTTGATTATCTATGCATTCATCTAATTTCTCATACCATCCGTTTCATTATCTATCTAATGGGATTGAATTATGTACGGATGACATGTTAAATAGGTAGTTTACGCGCATTCAATTATATAATCACACATCAAATATTTTCATACATTATTATGGAATTTAGTGCACTAGATATCAACACCCATTGCCGACTATCCTAACGATTCAATCGAAACACGCGCTTCATGTTATTTTATTTTACACGCGCTTTTCTTTCTCAAGCGAAACTTTCCTCCATGAGAGTTCTGCAATTAAGGATGACAGTGGATCGGGACGGCGCAGGGCTGGGGAGTAGTCTCCACCCCTGTACTTTACTTCAAAAATATTCGTCCACTCCCAGTTTAACCCCATTAGCAGCAGGAGAAATTTCATTTTTGTCCTCGCCCCACGGATAAATTTTGATACCCGTCCCCGTCCCCACCATTGCCCCCCACTACCATCGTCGCCAATCCATAATGACAGACTACAACATATCTAACACAATAATCATACAATAAACTATATCCGAAACATTAAATGCATTAAAACCAAGCTTCTCGAGGGTGTGTGTTGGGCGTTGTGTGCATGTCGTGTGTGTGTGTGTGAGAGAGAGAGAGAGAGAGAGAGAGAAATAAACAGCGAGAGAAAAACACAAAATTGTACCTGGATTGAGAGACGAGCAACAGATAGACAAAAAACAGACAGCAAGAGAGAAGCAGCGACTAAGAGAGTAGTGGTTGGAGAGAGAGGCAACAACCAATTGAGAGGGGCTCATTTCTAGGGCTTGAATTGGGAGAGACATGATTTGGGTATCGCCAAGTATGGAGAGAGGAGACAGAGATAAAGTTTTTGCCGTTTTGGCAAGCACAGTTAGAAGGCGTGAATTTAGAGGAATAAGGGTCAGAAGGCGTGAATATACTATATATATATTTATAAAAATCTAGCGAGTAGGGAGGGGCGGGGCAAGAGTAAGTGTAAGTTTATCCCCACATGAATTTATATGGATATCTCTATATACGTCTACCGTTTAATACGTATTACAGTATTTTACACTGTCCACTATTCAGCCACTACTATTATAGTTAACCCCCTCTCTCACTATTCTCTTCTTCATCTCTTACAAATTTACAATAATCCAAATATCTAATAATCCAACTTTTCACATTATTTTATTATTACCCACCATCTATTCTCTTTTGAATTTATGGCTTCCCTAAAATATAAAAAATGGATAAAATGATAAAATAGGATCCAAATATAAATCTCGTGCAGTTTGCATAGGATGAATACTAATAAAATTCTTATTTAATAACTCATATTCAACAACCCCATTTATACACGTGTGTTAATTGTCAAATTATAGTGACGGTGATTGTTTTCAAGGTCTATGGAATTTACTTTATTCGAATAAGTTTATTGTTGAGTAGTGATATCAATCACGAATCAATATTAAAATGATATGACTGTCATACTTAATATTCATTGCACAAATCCAATTGATTTAAAAAGTGAATAACTTATCTTAATGATAAAGATAGAACCATTAATGAGCAAATGCAATTCAAGTATAATCAGCTTGTCTTATATAGTAAAGTACATGAAGTAAACTCTAATCCACCATAGGTAAAATATAAGTCATAATTCAAATGAGATACGAAAAAAAAAAATATGATGACTGATTGTGTTTGGTAACGTTTTTGTTTTTATATATTTTTTTAAAAAAAAACAGAAATAGTTTTTGTTTTTTTTATGTGATTAAAAGTTAAAATAGAAAATGTATTTGGTTGTAGTTGTTACTTTAAAAGAATTTAAAATTGAAACAGAAAATATATTTAATAACCATTTTATTTTTTGTCATATATTTTACTTTTATATTAATTCTTACTAAAACAAATCTACATTATTTTTATCAAATTATCCAATTTTCCTAAAAAAAAACAGTGTTCTAGCATTGTAAGTGCACAAATGAAGGAATGGGATCTTCCCAGCCGTTGGATTTGAACATATTTCTTGCAGGTACAAGGGCCAAAGCCGCTGAATCTAGGAGTTTGGATAAAAAATAGTGTAATCTCATTAATGGGTTGGTTGGTTTGGAAGGAAATAGAGTAACCGAGATAGCGAGGAACACATTCCTAATCGAGACCAAGACGAATACATTCCTAATCGAGCATCCAAATTGATTGGTTTGGAATGGAAAAAATTAAAAAAAAAATTGGTGAATGCAAAATTTCGGTTGGAGAAGAATTTAGAACAAACACACATACGCAAATTAGAGACACGAACACAAGTACACACGCACCAAGACTCACACACAGACAGGTCCACAAATTAACACACACACAGAGGCATAACCACATAAAATATAATACAAATCTAACTTAGATCTACATACATTCATAAATAACTCCAGATATATGCATATCTAAGCTATATATGTATACTTCTAACATATCTAACTCAAATCTAACAAAGACAGAGGCAAAGGCAAGAGAAAGTTTGGGGTCTTCGTTGCACAGATAGAGGCGAGAGAGAAATACCAGTCTTCGTCAGGAGAGAGAGGCGATGGTGAGAAGGGTTTTCGTTCTTCGGTTGCATTTTAATTAGCTTCATTTGAAAGATGAAGATGCATTTTTGGTGATGATATAACCGGTTTAGAAGGAAGATTTGGTGGAATCATAAATGTACAAGTCACGTCAAAATGGGAGTAAGATTGTTTATCATTTATCTCAAAAATACCACAATAAACGATAGTCTTGTGCAATAAATATGACCGGTCGCTTCAAAGTGGATCAAAAGCCCTTTTGCTTGCTAAAGCATTTTACCTGGAGGTCGGTCTCTAATCAACCATTACAATACTTAAAAGGACAAAACCAGCAAGATTAGCATTCCATGAGAGAAGTAATTTGACTACGCGTCCAGGTTTCATGCCAGATGATCAGATTTTAATTTTGACCAGCTGCCTTTTCGGACGTGTAGTCGTTATTACATATTGATGATACCATATTCAGCAGATTGATCCAACTCAATCTCGAACGGCACAACTTCAAAGACTAAGGAAGGGATGACCAGCAGAACAAAAAGACTGAACTCTCCAGCATTTAGGAAGTTCGGAGCAGTTTGTTGCAGCCTGGGCGTAAACAACATCCGAGCAAATTTCCTAACCTCTAAACAAGCTCTTCCATCACAGAAAGTTGTATAGACCCATAAGCACCATCCCACCAAATCATATAGTGACTTCCGGAGCTTAACCCTCTTGGGCAATGTCATCTTCCTTGTAAAAAGGTCATGCCACGTTACACCTAGAGTATATAGTTTTTAACTTTCTCACGCTTTGAGTTCACACATCATCATGTACCATTCTCTCAATTAAACCAATACTCTGCATGTAACTCGAATACGATAAGATTATCGTATCGGCTTTAATAATTTCATTGATTAATTTTAAATTGAATAATTTATAAATAATCATTGAAACAATGATAAAATAATAAAAAAATTTGTATATTTGATCGTTCTTATCCTTGGTTAATCTAACCAAAAGGTCAGGGAAAAAAAAATTATTACAAAAGTGCATGTTTCATATTGCATTTTATCGCAAGTCGTATAACTATGGGTGCATTTGGTTCGTACTTTTGTTTCATATTTTTTATTTTTATTTTTGTTTTAAATTTTTGCAAAAAATAATAATATGTTTGAGATGTGTTCGTGCTTTTTTTTTAAGCCAAGTTATTTTGAAAACAAGGCCAAAAAATACAAACAAAAAAAAAAAAACGCAGACAGTGCACGCAAGGTCTAACCCCATAATGAGATCCAGACTTAGATTATTTTTTGCAGCCAAAAATGGTTATTCTCGTGGAAGTATAAAAGTCACTTGATTCTCTCTCTCACCTCTCAGATGTCCAATCTTTTGAGTTACAAATAATAGACTCCAAACCATGCCCATAATTTTTCAACTCTCCCTAGTTTCAGACCTTATAATCACCTCTGTTATTTACACCATTGGAATATAAACAATTCATGCACCATCGACACCCGCACAACAAAAATTATTGACCATCACTGTCACTATTCACTCATATCATGCTACAATTAGCATCCTATTCATCCAATAAAGCAATCTTCTGGCACACGTCTTATGTTGATAAAACAAACCTCCACAGCTAACACAAAAGTGTCGGATTTCATGACTGCTTACTCATTCGTCAAGACAACACAAGGCACTGCAAATTGGCCTTAAGCACTACAGGAAGGGCCAACTGGTGAATTCACTTCCACACTTGAGCAAAAAAGGAAGCAATTAATAGAATACCACATGCACTCAAAATAACTTAAATAATCCATACTATAACTTTCAATGCCTGATGGAACTATTATTCGGTCAAACTTATACTATGAAAACACCCGAAATGGGAAATATGCGGATCTTCTGGTGGCTCAACAACTAAAGATAATATCTATCCCCTACTATAAGGACACTTCAAGATTTCTCAACCTCATAGTAAGGTTGTATCACTGATCTCCGGGCAGCGACTTGATGATATCAGAATCACCTGAATCAAATTTGTCACATGACCAGTCAGCCAGTAGGCTAAGCAATGGTTTTCATAAAAAGACAAGCTTAATATGATAAAACAAAATTGGATACCTGGATCAACAATGCTTAGGCATGAGACACGATAATACTTGCCACACGCTGTTCCCAGATCAACATTGTCTATAGACACAGAATGATGCCCCCCCAAACGAAACCAACACAGAACAACAAAAAAGTCTCATCAGGTAATTTTCCAGACCAAAAGTTATGACAAAAAATTGAGTCAACACTAGGGAAAATCAATGCAATGCCAAATTTGTCAATGACATTCAAAACTTGAATAAACTCTCCAAAATATGAATGGAATAAAATTAGACAATTACAGCATATTTACCAACATAGCAAGCATATACTGTTGGTAGTTTATCATAACAAAACTTGAATACTGTTAAAAAAAGGAGCAGTCTGAGATGTAGGACTGACTCATTTACTTTTCCCTACTTTTAGGAAAAAATGAGAAATTGACATTCAGTGTGATAAAGAAGCAGAAGTGTGATGTAGGATTGGTGAGCCTGAAAAATCAAAGTGAATAGTGAATTTTGGGTTGAATGTGCCACTTTGTGGATTAGGGTCTAATGGATGATTTGGGAAAGAGGGTTATGTTTTAGAGGTAATGTTTATGGACATAAGATTAATATTTCAGATCTGATAAAAGTTGGAAACTTACTGAAAAATATAAGACAGAGGGAGGAGCAAGAGAAGAAGAGACCTAGGAATCACTCCTAGGGTTCCATAGGCATCACACGTTGCCTCTAGAATTGCATTTCACAATTCAAAAAGCATACATCTGCTGAAAGTTTCTGAAAATATCACTCTATCTCCCTTAAATTAAACCATCACATCTCTATACATAGACCTCCAAGCATTTCCAAAATACTAATGAGATTATTACTCTAAAAACTCCAAATTTCATATAATACGGAAAATAACATAGACTAGAACTAACACTCTAAATTCTAGAGTTTTAAGACTCAATACCATAGTTTGAGCCAGAAGATGACTCAGAGGTTATACAACAAACCGTTCCAACATATCTAAATATATTAAAGGACACATAAAATAATAATGCCACTAAAATGACTCAAACTAACTCAAAATAAGAAACATACATATATAGTAATACAAGATTCCATATGGATATTTGCCTTGAGGGCAAGTCAATTTCATTTTTCTTCAAATCTCTGAGTTTGTGTTTCCTTGAGCATTTAATGAATTGCATCATTCTCCCCGGGTTAGAAAAAACTCAACCTCGAGATTTGAAGTTTTGAAATCTCAAAGTCCACATGCTTTGAACTTGCATTTGGAGTTGTCTTTGAGAATCCTTAAGATGATGCCTCAGTTTCTTCTTAAGTTAAGAAAATAAATAGAGATTTTAACATTTATCTTCTTGATTACGTCGTCGAATTTATTTGGAATGGCAAAATCAATTGGTGAAGTAAAGTGGATATAGAAAGAAAACCCTTGAATTGACATTGAACATGCAATTTTATATCATGTGTTGCTACTCCCTCGTTGCTCATGGTGTTGTCTTCATTTGTTGTAATCTTGATCTTGTCTTGGTTGCTTTTACAATATGGTAATAGTGGTGGCCCTTCATGCTCACTTAGATTCTTGGAAGATGAAACCAAATCATATCCCTTGAGACGCCGATGTTGCCGACTAAAAGTCATAAATGGGCCGAACTTCATCAGCCAACTCTTTTGGCACTATTTGAGGTTTTAGATAGTAACTTACTCATTTTTAAAGCCAAGTCTTTTTCTATACCAGCGCCTAGTTTTTCCAACTTCCTAGGCTCTACGACGTGGATATTGTCCAAATATTCACTTTTTACCTTAGCCTCTTGAAAAATAATTAGCAAATTGGCCTAAGATTGTTGAGATTGTCCAGTTTGATCTACTGCATCCCGAAATATTGGATTGTTTGCTACATTGGGCTGCTTTTAATGAACCTTCCCTAGCTCCTTATGAGAATGCAAACACCTTTGAGCTTTATCCATCTAGGGAGAAGAAACTATTGATGTATTTACTTGATTAAAGAAATTTAGGTATATCTCCGAACCATGTGCCACTTGGAATGCATGTTCCACGCTACATAGTAGTTGACGAAGCAATGTTGCTTTTATATCAAACCTTTAAACCAGCCTTGGATCGAGCAATAATATGACAAGGATCTTCTACAATTCGACGTCACAACATTAATTCTACAAATCTTTCAATTTACTCCATCACTAACAAGCTGAATTGTTGAAGATTAATAAGTTGTGTACAACTAGCCACAATAAGTTGAGGAGATATATTTTCGTTGAAACTTAGCTTTCATCCCTTCCCTTATGCCGATTGATGATAATTCCAATCTTCTTAAATCTCTTTTAACACCAAACCACCAAAACTTCACTAAGCCTACAACTTTCATAAAGATTAATGCTTTAGATCTGATAAAAGTTGGATACGTACTGAAAAATACAAGAAAGAAAAAGGAAAGAAGAAGCAGCGACCTAAGAATCACTCCTAGAGTTCCGTAGATATCATATGTAGGGTTTTGAATCACATCTCACAATTCTCAAAACATACATCTGCCGAAAAGTTTCTAAAGATATAACTCTCATCTTTCTTAAATTAAACAATTACATCTATATATATAGACCTCCAAATATTTCCAAATTCTAATGAGATTAGAACTCTAAAAGACTCCAAATTCCATATAAATTAGAAAATTAACATAGATTAGAATTAGGACACCAAACTATAGAACTTTAAAACCCAATACCATAGTTTGACCCAAAAGACAACTCACATGTTATACTATAACTCGTTCTAGCAAAATTTGAAACTTAAGAAAATACCCTTGACAAAAATATTAGGACACATAAAATGCTAATGCCAACAAAATGACTCAAACTAACTCAAAATAAGTATCAAATATATGTATTATAATACAAAGTTCAAGTTCCATATGAATCTTTGTCTTTATGGCAAACCAATTTCATTATTCTTCATATCTTTAAATTTTTGTTTCATTTGAGCAACTTAGTTTATGTATTGCATCAAGAAGTCCTCCTCACCACATGCATGTAAATACATTTAACTGGGCACACATAATTTGTAGGAGGTAGAACCATCACCAACGTCCCTAGCTAATTATTTTTAGTACAAACAAATTAGGCACTACCTTGGAGTTCATTTTCAATCAAGTAAGATCGAATTTAGCAACTTTAGTTAACAAATTTAATTATTTGAATGAATATGCACGAGGCACCTTATCACCTAAGTCAAAGAGGTGAATTTCCACACACAAGAGATCATCAATATGAAAATGGACAAGGCACAAAATAATCATAGACGAAAAACAAAACAAAAAGATACTAGAAAATTTTGAGAATACATAATGACAAAACCATGGTTAGTAACTACATATGGCCACAAGGGCACATCGCATACAAGAGAAGGCCTAGAGGACCCAGTTTGACATCTGAAGTGGTCAAATGACTCAAATCTATCTATCAACTAAAATTTTATAGAACTTTTGGATGTATTTTAGGTTTAAAAGCTAATCCTTAAGGAGGCTAACCTAATAGTGCTTCATTAAGGTGACAAGGGAAATTGTCTACAATTGCACACCAATGACCATCTCAACATCCACAAGAGCATGTTATAGCACCAAAACTACAAACATATCTAGCATGAGACAGTGTGCACGACCACATTTCTTTATTTATTTTTTATTTTTTTTGGTGGGAGGGGGGGGGGAGAGAGATAGACCTATTCAATATTGATCAATAGGCACCCATATAGGATCATAACTCTGGCTAGGATATTTTTCTTTTAATTCTTGCATTCATTTTTGAATTCAAACCTTTTTTTTAAATACGTTCATGCTTACCATACTAAGTTGGTCCATACAACTAGCTGACTTCTCTGCAATAAGAGCAACAAATAGATTCTAGATCCTACATATCACAAGCAACTGGTACTGATGTAAGCTATCTTCCCCACTACGAAGGAACAAATAACTCGAGCATTTGCACTTATCAAAAAGACTTCTCTTCTATCAATACCAATCCTCCCAAACCTCATTTAATCATTTCGAGTTTCGGGGATATTTCAGTCCCTGTTGCCAATCAATTCTCCACTTCTGGGTCTTTCTCTTCTCATGTGTGCGTGTGTTGGTTGAAACATAAACATCACCTATCCTATCCCAAAATCTCATCTTTTCAACTGGCTATCTCTAGTTCTGTCTCAATCTGAATTTCTAAAGTCGAATAAGCTAATGGTGTGCTAACAATTACAAGTCTACTGCCATAATATAATTTTGTGCTAACACTACAAATTCACGAATTGGTGGTAATGCGGCTGCGGAATACTTACTTCCATTGTAATGGTGAACCCCAACCTTCGCAAGCATAGCATAGTATTCGATCTCAGATTTCCTTAGCGGAGGGCAGTTGTTGGAAATTATTATCAACTTTCCTGCAATTCCACACCCCCAAACCAAAAACAACACAAACCCCAAACATAATTCAGTCAAAAGCACAATTTTTCTGTCTTTTAGAATTAATATAATGACCCGAGGAACAAAGTGATAGAGATCATCAAATAATAAATGAGAACGAAACCGACCTTTGGAGGTCCTGAGGGACTTGAGCACGGTTTTGTATCCCAAAGTGTACTTGCCGCTCTTCATCACGAGAGCGAGTCTGTTGTTGATACTCTCATGAGTCTTCTTCTGCAAATTTATATTGCAAAAACAAATCAAATCATCAATATTTACATAAATATGTCAATAAATACTCGTCGACATAAGTATAGAGAGAGAGAGAGAATTAGTACAGTCTTCTTCCCGGCCGCCATTGTTGCTTCTAAAGCAGAACCCTCACAGAGTTGCAAAGAAGTGCGCCGGTGAGAGAGCCGAGGTGGCTAAGGTTTGAGGGTAAAATGAGGTGAGATAGGGTTTAGTGTGTCATCGTCGTTCGTCGAGGAGCGTAGTGTTGCACGTGCGACTCACGTGTATATATGAAATGAACTTGATTTGGTATTTAGGTATAATTTTCAGGTGGACCCTGTTTTTGTTTTGAGGACAAAACCTTATGCTGATGTAGATTTTTAATTCTGATCGATTATTCGGATTTAAAATTAAGATATAAAAAGCTAAAATTTATGTTTTAGTAAGGTATTCAAGATGTATCAAATGATATTTTTATTTTTAATAGATTTAAATTTAAATTGTAAAAATAAAATTATTCCCGAATCAAATCTCATTCAATTATAGATTGATTAAACCACAATCCAAATCTAATACTTTTATGCAACTGATGCCAACACAAGTAAATGACCCCATTTGAGTACCTAAGCTTGAATGAAATCCCAACCTAACCTAAACTTAAAAATCAACCAAAGTGATGGATATAGCTCAAATCTTAGAATTCGATTCATTTCTCAATCTTTGAGTGTCGTCAATCACATTTATACATGCACATAAACACATAGACATCCGAAGAAACATCACATATGGCATGTTGTACATGATATTATCCATGAATTTTTGAATTAATCACTGACACACGTTAGGAACTAGGGCACATGTATGAATTAGGTTAAGGCACACTCAACCATACATGATTAACTCTAATGATGACCCTTCAAACTAAAATTAAAACCAAAACCTCACTCAAACCCACCTATAAAAGCCTTCGTTAATGAATGGCGAAAGTAAACAATTCTTTCAAGAGGAATTAACATGTGCCCAAACAAACTTTATAATTTTTTTACTACTTTTCACCCACATCCACCTACTGACTTGGGCATAAAAAATGGTTCGATTAGAACCACACTAATTTCCTAATCTTAAAACTTTCTTTGACATGCCTAAGGATCTCACCTCTTTACAGGAATATAGAACAAATTTACTGATAGATCCATCACTAACTAAACAGCCTCATATTGGGAGCTCGTTCACCTTGTAGGCTTGTAAACATCTAATACAACACGTCAGGTCTTCTTTCTGTCTTCCCATTACTCCGTTTTTGGTTCTTTTAAACCTTTGGGTGCCTTAATCTGTTACCCCGAAATGATAAGCAAACTTTTTGGTCTTCAACCTTTTCTTTTTCCTGTTCACGTGTCCATGAAAATATAGGATCTATTGCACCAGATTTTGTGTGTGAAAGATTTGGATTCCTTCTCCTGTGGTTTATCTCAATTTCTCTCACCAAAATCACCTATTGAGACGAAGAATTTGGTGGAAGCCATCAAGAGACAAATTTCTGCAACCAACATTCTGAAGCAAACAATACCAACTATTCTATTCCAACTGTAGGAGGAAACAGAATATATCACAAGGGTTTGAACACGGATCCTAATTAACAGAAAATCCAGAACCCTATAACCACATAGTTCCACCGATTAAGTTCCATGAATTAAACACACAAGAAATCTACAGATATAACTAAAAGTCCAATATAAAACTTGGTCAGACCTAAACAAACTCAAACAATTCCAAACCCAACTGCAGAAAGTTGGGGTTATCAGCCTGAACTGAACTACTACTAACAGACATCTAAAGACGAACTGTAAACAGCCTCTCACCATTTCATATAGTGGAAATCTTATTCAATCTTCATTGTAAACACCATCATTAGAATATATCCATATATATTACTGCTTGTCCTTTCTCTGCTTGGCCAGCTTTGCAGCAACTTGTTCTTCAGTCAAGGGGAGGTAATAGATTCGAGGGGTAGCTCTTGTTTTCCTAAATAGGTCATCCAATGTGACGATTGGTGGCTCTATTTTCTCGGGAAGTGATGGAGATAGTGGCAGGGGCCGCTTTTCCCTAGCAGGTTGGCCAGAAGTGGGTGGCGCCGGTGGGAGTGCACCTTGGGGCGGGAGGGGCTGCCCAATGCTCGGCTGGCTAGCAGAGGGAAGCAGCTGAAGAGGAGGTTGAGGAGGAGGAGGAGCAGTTGGACTAGTGACAACTGGTGCAGCTGCAGATTGAGGAGGAGCCTCCAACCGCAATTTCACTTCCTGGGGATCAACAAACTCTGCAACCAGGAGACGCCCTCCATTTGGAGGCCATTGTAGGTTGTAAACAGCATTTCGAGACTCTATAGCTTCTTCTACTGAAGAATACTGCATAAAATGAAGTATCAATCAATATATCGTGATTTCATGACTGAAAAATGGGTATTATGCAACAGGTTAACTAAATGCGACATTTAGCCACCCTGTCAACCTACACCTCTTGAACTGTAAATTTTAGACAGGCATCAATTTTGTTATTTAAGAAAAAAGATGACCAGTTAATGCATTTAGAAAATTATTCCTCATCCCATTCTTAGTAGGAAAAAAATTGAGGTATGAGAATTTGTGTTATTAGGAGGCAAATTCTTTCCCAACATGAAATTAGCATGTTAGGGTTGACTATTTCTCCCATGAATCGAAATGACACGACCCACAAAGACGTAAAATAAACAGATTGTGTTTGGGGTGAGACTCATGCAACTCAAAATTGACAGTCTAAGTATCCGTGTCAAACCGTCAACACGAAACCAAGAATCAATTGCTCCCAACCCAATTCCTACCATTAAAAAAATACCCAAAAATGATCCGAATAACCCTGTTATTGTGTGTATGAACAGAAACTATGCTCAGCTCAGACCAATTTTGCTTTTTACTTCCTCATTCTCAGATCAAAAACAAACCCTACCTTTTTCAACTCTTCTCTCTGCAAACTGTGAAGTGCCAAGTGTGAATTGTCAAATCAGTCCCCACACCCACATGACAGTGCCAAGAGGCGTGCACACTTAGAAAAGTGGTCCTATCAACTTTAGATGGAAAAAATATAGGACTCACATAGAGAATGACTCTGCGGTGTAAATTACAAGTGAAAACATCTAGCTCCTGGAGGGGACTGCTACCACTTCAATCATTATTAACCCACTTTCTTTTTTTTGGTTCAAAAGACAGGGGTATCTGGTCCAACTTATTAACCCACTTCCCAACATGACACAAGACAAAAATCAAGTGTGTGTGTGTGTGTGTGAGAGAGAGAGAGAGAGAGATTGCTACCGTGACATAGCAATGGGTCTTGATGTGGTCCATCCAGAAGCTGCAGACATTACCAGTTTTGGATAGGAGATCTTGCACAGCTTTCAGTGTAAAGGGACGCAAAAAGTTATTGATTCTAATAGAATTTGTTGGCGTCTTTGGGGATGGTGGTACTGTAGTTGGAAGATGAGAAAAAAACATTAAATGCCAATAAATTCTGCAAACACAAATTGTGAACTTTGTCATCAAAATCCATATTTACTCACCAACACGTTCCTTGGGTGCATCTGCACCAAGTGTTGAGCTTGACCTAGAGATGCTGCGTTTCAGTCCAGCATTGGAAATCAAATCCTTTGTAGGTGTAGAAAGTGAAGCACTAGAGTCTTGCGGTTCAGGAATTTTAAGGCTTTCAGAATTCCACTTACGTTGCCTCTTTGGAGGTTCTTTATTCCCAACTGCTGCTCCATCTGCGAACACAAATTACTATTCATACAATAGAGAAGAAGAAAGCTGACATCACTTCATGAGACTAAGCTAAATTACTCTCACATAATTGCCACAAACATTGAATTATATTCCGATGCCATATCAAGATCCCAAGTCAATAAGTTACACCATTATATCTAACTCTGATCTTAAATGAATCAATAGTTAAACAACAGGTTAACACCAAAACACAAAATTACAAAAGACACAGAGAGTAGTTAAAAGATTAATCTCAAAGCCATACAAATTACATCAACCCATGTTATATGTGTTCAGTGGACATTCTGGTTCTAAGAAGACAACACACCATGTACCTCATGCAGCAAAAATATGAAATTTAGCACATTTGAAGTTTGATGAGCAATTATACAAAAGGAATTCTAACCAAGTCACAAACAGATATGATAACAGGTAAATAGTTCTATGGCTTTTGTCAAGCCTGGACCAGTTTTGCAAGATCAGATCAGCAAGTCATGTAGACAAACAAGAATATTGATGGATTACACAAGTATACCAACATAGTTTGTATTATTCTAATATGATTAGTCAAGAAAAAGATTCAACTTCAGAATATAAGGACTATATGTGATCCATTTTCACATCCGTTCCCCTCGGAGAACAAAAAACCAAAAAATCAAAATCAATACTATTCAACATATGTCTAGAATATATCCTCAGTATGATTCTTTCAACGTGTGTATAAAATATCTCCTCAAGTTTAAAGGAACTCTCATTTTTCTCCCAGCCCGGGGAAGTGATCCCACTGGAGAAGGAAAGTGAGAAATATAGTTTAGTAGACAAGTACGAAAAGGCCACCACAGATCTATCGAAGACAAAAATGACCATTAATATATATATCATTAGGTCAAAGCAAAACCAGAGGAAAGTCTCAACGAGAAGGTGGAATTTCATACTGAAAGGTAATCAATGACCAGAACAATGCCATTTGCATAAGAACAAGGTTGGATCCTAATCTGCTTCAACCACCCATATGATGCAGTTACTTCATTAATTTGCCAAAGGATAACACCACATGGTGGTCAACACTTCGATGTATTGAATAGGGTTGTTGTATCCACTTTCATTCAATGACCATAAGACTTCATTACAAACTACAAAGAAGCTGGGACACTTAATAAATGGATATATTGTCAGCAAAAAAAAAGTTGTCCAATGGAAACAAATAAACAGCGGCAATACCTTGGAACTTTCTTTTCTCAGAAAAATCAGCAACATTTTCTTTGTTTTCAGGAGAATGTTTCAATTTGTCAGAAGCCAATTCAGGCTGTACAGCATCAACACTATCAACCACTTGTACACGAGGCGCTTCAATTAGCCCAGTCCTTTCCCCCCCTTTGTCGGAATTATGATCAGAGTCAACATGCCTCGTCTCCATTACATCCTCCTCTATTGAATCATCACCTGAAGATTGATCTAAATTTATTTTCTCCATTTGCTCCCCATCTGCAACAGTAGCGCTTTTACTAAAATCTGTATCGCGACAATCTTCTTGCAACGAAATAAGAAAACAAATCAAGAAAGAAAAAAAGAAACCAAAAAGAGAGCAATGTCAGACTAAATGGCTAACAAAATGATGGGATACAATTGATAGATGAAAAAAAGATACAGAGAATATTTGATGAAAAATCATACCTTGTAATTTTCTTTCCTCAGAGGAAGCAGCAATGCCAAATTTCTCTTCGGCAGATGTTTCCATCTTGCCAGGGGACAAATCGGGTTTAACAGCATCACCAGGACTTCCATTTTTTGCAATGGGCACTTCAGTTAGCTCACTATTACCCCCCACTAGGTTGAAAGCCTTATTCTCCAAATCATCTTCCATGACAGAAACATCAACTGAATAATGATTTGCACTATCATTTTTGTGGCTAAAATCCACATGTACAGGTTTGGCATCATCGGTTTCTTCACAAAAACCCAGGTTTCTATGCGGCATCTGAGCATCCAATGGATGTAAGATGCCATCATTTGGAGGGACTTCGCCAGATGATGGTTGCACCATCTCCGGCTTAACGACTTCCAGTTCTAAATGGACATTATCAGCATTTAAATTACCCTTTAGTTCTTTCGTTTCATAATTAGACATAGTATCATTAAGAATAGACTCAGACTTTACTTGAAACCCTAAACTAGGGCTGACCTCATATACCTGGTTGCTGCAATCGGGGACATCATGTGCTGCATCCGTCTGCAAAGGCTTTGAACCCTCTTCCTCCGAAATAAATTCGTCAATTTCCGGAACTTTGTCACTATATGCAATCTGCATTGCTGTAATATGATCAGCTGTGCTACTGGCTTCCACAGACGCCTCTGAAACTGCTGATTCCCCAACCGGAAAGGTACCCACCAGGGAAGACTGCAAGCCCTCATTGTCCATCCTGATTTTTTCATTCTCAAACGTTTTCACATCGGACGCAATCTGGCTTACCACAATATCTTTGGCAATGCTATTGCTTTCTAAAGTAGCCTCCAATACTCCTGGTTCACCAACCAAGACAGTATCCTTCTGGGGAGATTTCAAAATCTCATTGTCCATCCTGATTTTGTTGTTTTCAAGTGCTCCCTCACTGGTAGAAATCTGGGTTGCAGCAAACTCTTCTACAGTGCTACTTATTTCCATAGAAGCCTCTACAAGTGCTGGTTCCCCAACCATCAGAACAGAATTAGTACCTTCTGTTGCTACCATCTCTAAAACTTTTCCCTGATCTAAGTCAGCAGGAACATCATCATCGTCAACCCCAGCCACATCATCCTCTACTTCACTAGTTGTGTTTCCAGCAGGATTCTGATGATCTTCACCCATTTCAGTGTCACTAGGGTGCAATTGCACACCTAAATTTTTTGACATGGGTTCAGGTTCGTACACAAAATCTTTGCTCACTTCTGCCTTAAAATTTCCACTTTCATTGCAAATTGCTTCATCCAACCGTCTTACCAAATCATCCTTCAACCCCTTTGTCGTCAAATTTCGTCTCTTAAGCTCTTCCTTCAACTCTGCTACTTTCCACTTATTAATTGGTCGGTTGTCAAGAATAGGATATGGTGACGACATTGTTCTAGTTCACAAATTCAGCAAAAATGCTCTCAATAACCTATATATAACATTCCACATAGTCAAGAGCTCAACCAATATAACATGAGAAAGCATAAAAATAGTAAAAATGCTGTGTTAAGCCTGTGTTACAATTTTGGGGGGATGCAACTGGAAAGAATGTAAAAATTAGGGAGAGAAATATAGACACACGTGTTGCAGTTTCAGCCTCAGTATCCATATTGCTAATCAACGTACCACATGAATACATCTTTTTTTCAAAAGAGTACTGAATATATTAGCTACCAATGCCAGTGAAGAAAAAAATTATTTGTCTACTAGCTAAATCAAAAAGCATCCACATCCATAAACATATCAGATACTAAACAAAATGACCACGATAAAAGACAACAGCCAACTGAAGCATGAAAGGTGCAAAATTGAGAAACAGGAGCACACAAAACCAGTGCAAAATTGGGAAATTGAAATTTCGCCAATTGCCCCCCTCAGTTTTCGAATCATTGACCGAAAAAGAAACCACAAAAAGTGAAAGGCATGGACTGAAAAAATTAAGAAACAAAAGCACGGAATACCAGTGTAATATTCATACTAAAAATTGAAATTTCACAAATTGCCTAGCTCAGTTTTCGAATCATTGACTGAAAAAAAAATATCAAATAAAGTGAAAGGCATCGATTATTTCTGAGTTCTTCGAAAGACGAATGCTTTATGCACAGATGAGTCAAAGGCGAGCACTTACTAATTAAATATCACAGCACAATAGTCCTTTTTCTGCAGCGGAAATATGAAACCCTAATTTCAGAAACATCAAACCAACCATTAGAGAAAAACAGTCAAACCGCATCACATTCACCCAAATTTCAAACCACTATGACTATACGACTAAAATTTATCCCTAAAAATAACGATTGCTGATGTCAAGTCCTGAATAAGTAGATATATAGATAGATGTATGAAAAGAACATGAGGAGGAGAAAGTGTTCGCGGTGTGAGAAAGACAGAATCTAATAGTAATTTCAATAGGATTGAAAGGAAATGAATTGAAGTTGGAATTTTTCTAGGGTTTCGGTGTCCTCATTTGCCTCTGCGAGAAACTCCAGATTTATCACGGAGAGAGAGAGGGAGAGAGAGAGAGAGAGAGAGAGAGAGAGAGATAAGACTGGAGGAGAACAGAGTTCGGTTGATTTTCTTTCTAAGTTTTGGGTGCGGTGCGGGAGCATGGACGACCCGATGTCAGTCCATACCGCCCCATCTTGTTTGGACATCTGACCATACCATGGATAAGGGGGATAAATCGAGCTTAATCGTTAGATTAACTCGGCCCAATTTAACTGGGCTATCCCACGTCGGATAATTTTGGGTGTATGAGTTGTGTTTAAATGTCCCACTTGACACTTTCTTTTTTAAGAAGTTGTGTTAAGTGTGTGTCAAAAAAAAACTCGGCCCAATTTAAACCTTTTTTTTTATTCAAAAACTTCTAATTTCATTTAAATAGAAATTGTTGATTACGATGAGAGAATAAAAAAGTCATGCACTTGGATAAAGCATAGTTGACCAATTCAAAGTTAGAGGACATCACTAATATTGTCATCCAATAAGCTATTTTGTTAAAGGCTCTTGACTTGTGCGAAAACCTCAGTTTAAGGGAACTAGCCATTTCCACATTATCACTTTCAGTAATGACTGACATACTGTAGCTGTGAAGCATGAGCAAGTAGACAAGTTTGCTTGACTGCGACACCTTCTACATATAGACTTCATACCGCTGGGATGCTTTTTGCAATTCTTTCCAGAAACTTTCCATTTGTGTCCCTTAGTACAACTCCTACAGCAGCTTTTCCATCTTTAAAAGCACCATCGCAACTCAGCTTAACACTTTGATGCATCTTTGAGACATTTGTGAAATTTTCTTATGATCTTTGTTCGATTGAAACTGCTTCATTCCACAAATTCTGAGCTCTTAAAGTTGTGGCAAGAGAATTAGGCTCTTCTTGATCAAAACCCATTTCGTTCCTCACTTTTCAGATAGTCCAACAAATCGTTGCAGCTTTCTCCATGATCTCTAATGAGCAGGCCAAGTGCTTGATAGATTCTAGTAGGGAAGAAGTCCACTGTGAGATTGTCCCTTGCATTTCCTTATCCAATCAGAGTCCAAAATTTGACCCGAATCATACATTTTTTGTCCATTCACATCTAAATAAAATAAGTTTTTAGGATTCTATACTCTCTACTCTCTTTGCAAATTTGGAAACTGGGGATTCTGCACATCTTCTCTTAAACAGATTTCTTCAAGTGGCCAGTGCATTGTTGCACGCTTTCCATCAGAAATGCTTGACCTTTGGGAGTGCCTTCATATGCCAGATGAAGTACCAGAGATTTGGATGAGGCGAAAAGGATGAATTTGCTTCCATATTGGGAGGATTTTTTAGAATTATAGTACTAGAGAGTAACCTGATCTAACTATATAGATTCATTTGGAACTTGGTTGCCAGATTCTTTTATAATTTTCTGTTACATGTTAGACTATATCTCAACTTAAACTTTGATGATAATATATGAAATAGCATGTGACTTGAGTAATGTTGTGTTTTTTGTAATTTGTGTCATCTACATATCTTATCATTTTAATTTAGATTATTTTGGTATTGTATTAGTATTATTTTGATAATCATGTTTATTTTTAATTTAATTTATTATTATTTATGTTAATTAATTGAGTTTTAGATCAAATTGGGTTTGTTTTGAATGGTTAAAGTTGACACCTAAGTTTTCCATATTTAATAATTGGAAAATTTTCATTCACACCCTCCCTAGTTAAGTCTAAATTCAATGACATCTCCTTCAGATTCTAAAACTTCATTACACCCCTTTTGATTTATACTTTTAAATCAAACACGCTCTCTTAACGGTAATTTTTAACTCTGCAAGTACAAAAAAATAACGATTTGATCATAAATTTTTTGAAAATGTCAAAATTACCATTTTTTATGCAAATATATTAAAATGCCCTCAACCATTTTTTTCACTATATATACCACACTTTTTGTTGTTTGTGAAAGTCAAAAACAATTTGGGATTGGTGGAAGACATAGGAGACTGAAATCAGTCATTATTCTTCAACTAGTTCTTTTTTTTTTTTTTTTAATTTTTAATTTTTTTTTGGGGAGGGGTAGGGGGAAAAAGATTTGAACGCTTGACTTCAAGAAAGTAACCCCTTCACAAGGCAAGTAGTACCATTAGACCAAAGGACCATTGGTGGTCAACTCGTTCTCCAAAGTGATCAAGAACTACCTAAGTTGGTAAAAAAATATATATTTTTTTCTTGCAGATTTGTAAATATTTTTCATGCCAAATTTTTAAAAAAATTTCATGCAGATATTTTTAATTTTTTTCATGCAAATAGTTTTAATTTTTTTATAACTTTTTTTTATCCAAAACACCTGTTAAATTTTCAAGTCATTAAGTCTATTTTTTTATAAATTGCTGGGTAAGAGGTATACTTTTCAATTTTTTATTTTCTTTTATTACTTGAGTTTCCTTTGTAATATATTTTTGTTGTTTGTTATAAATTGCAGGGTTTTAAATTTATTTTATAGTTAAAAATAATTTTTCTATAATAAAATTACAATCGATAAAGTCAATGTCAAAATTCTATATATTTTTAACTTCTCTATTATCGACTGTCCTCCACAACATCATTTGACCACTCTTCATATATCACCCTTCATATATAAAATTTAAATATTATTTGATAAAATTTAATATTAATTAAATAAATGTGGTCTCAATATGATAAATTTAAATATTAATTTGGTTTTAATTTGATAAAATTTAATGCTAATTGAATAAATTTAAATGTTGTTTTAATGAAATTAAATGTTCATTTGATGTTAAATTAAATAAGTGACATTAATTTGATAATGTTAAATGTTAAATTAATAGAATTTAATATTCTATTTAATATATTTAATTTTAAATTAATAAAATTGAATGTTAATTTGATGGAATAAAATAATAATTTAATGTTAAATTAAAGAAATAATATTAATTTGATGAAATAAAATATTAAATTAATATAACTAAATACTGATTTGATAAAATTAAATTTCAATTTGTGTTGATTTGATAAGATGAAATGTTAATTTAGTTTTAAATTAAATAATTGATATTAATTTTATAAAATTAAATATTAAATTGATGAATTTAAAGGTTAATATAATAAAACTAAAAGAGAGTACATTAAAATTTTAAAATCAGGAGGGGATATTGTTAAAGATAGGTCTATTTACATGGAGTGTCATTGAAGTTATGTCTAAATATAAAAGGTATGGATAAAAATTAATCTATAAAATATTCAAGGGTATTTTTGTAAATTAACAATCATTGTTAATGCCGTATTCCAATAAACACTAACAAGGGGTGATAGTGAAATTTGAGAATCAGGAGAGGGTGTCATTGAATTTAGACCTAATTATAAGGGATGTGAATGAAATTTTTCTTTAATAATTTTTAGGTGCTATAATATTATCCGGTATTAACCACAAAAAGGATATGTCAAGTGATAATATGTACAAACTGTAATTTAAAAGTTTTGAATTTGAATTTTAATAACATATTGGGCTCTGAGTAATTTATTTTTTATGAATATTCAAGTATTGCCTTTAAATGACATGTCTTTGACAGAATTAAAGAGTGAATTAGTTGACATATATATACATTGACTCGAACACCTTTGACCATTAAAAAAATAAAATAAAAATAAGATTAATTGTAAATTGTACCACAAAAGATTGTTCGAATTTTAATTTGTATTCTCAAAAATAAAAAATCTCAATTTACACCCCCAAAAATAAAAATTTATATTAATGTACACCTGAAATTAACAGTCATTAGTTTGCCGTTTAAAGCTAAATGGATAAATTATACCTAAATACTTTTATATTTGTCACTTAATTATTTGAACCTCCTTACATTTCGAATAATACTCCTATACCTTTTGATGTTTGTGCACACGTAATACATAATCTTTTGTCGTTGATACTTGTTAATATAAACGTTAAAAATATGATTTCATCTAAATAAAAAATTATAATTTCATACTATCATTTATTTTGTGCATCTGTTATACTTTAAATTTTAAAATCAAGCTTATTATTTAAATATTCAATATAATGCATGATCATATTAAATATTCAATATAATGCATGATCATATCAAGTGTAATATATCACGCAGATAAAATTATTTGAATGCCCAATTAGAGGAACTTTTTTAGTCATATTTAAATTTTCAAGGGATATAAGTATAATATTTTAAATGTGAGGGTTTAGGTGATTAAATGAAAAGTATAAGAGAGTCTAGGTATAATTTATTCATTTAATTTTAAACGACAGCTGTTAACTTTAAATTCGCATTGATACAAATTTTATTTTTAAGGTTATAAATTAAAATTTTTAATTTTTAAAAATATAAATTAAAATTCAAACGATCTTTCATGGTACAATTTGACTTTAACACATAAAAATATTATCCTATTACCACCGATTATGGTCATGTTAATTTTTGCTAAAGCTATAATTATACAGACGACAATAGTCCGCTGCGGATTGTGCTCCGCGTGACACGCAGCCTCGAACCTCTCGTCGGCTCTTTTTGAATTTTTCCCAAATTGAATCTCGTACAAACGCCACGTCGCCACAATCACGAGACCCATATTATTGAAGGAGCTGGAGCATGTACTATCCCACTCCGCGCACGTTAACATCAACCCCCACCCAACCCCCTTTTCCCACAGAGTATCCTCCAGTCCATTTTCACTCTGCTGCCAAAAGCTCTCACTTCGCTCAAAAAAACAAACCCACCGCCTGCCCCCCTATCCGTTGTTGTTCAAAGTCCAACTTCACTATAAACTCTCTGTGTGCAAACACACACACGCGTGTGTGTATAAATGTATGTGTATCTAAGGAAGGCTTTTGATTATCGGTGATCTGCAGGCTACATTGCTGCTCCGAACATTGCATTTGTGGTTATTGTGAACACTAGGGTTTGAGATTCAATGGGGACTAGGTTTGTGGTTACTACTGGGTTGATGATGTGCCTTTTCATTGAGGTTTGTGTTGGTGCTACGTTTTCTTCGAAGCTCATTCACAGGTTCTCTGACGAAGCGAGGTCGTTTTGGGTTTCGAGAAACGGGAATGCGACGTGGCCGAAGCACAGGAGCTTGGAGTACTTCAGGTTGCTTCTCAGTAGTGATTTGAAGCGCCAGAGACTGAGGCTCGGCTCGCAGAATCAGCTTTTGGTTCCGTCGGAAGGAAGCGAAACTTCGTTCTACGGCAATGACTTGGGATGGTGAGTCTCTGTGTGTGTGTGTGTTTTATGGTTAAAGGTCTTTATATTTTGTGGGAAATGGTGGAGAAGGGAAAAACGAATGAGGAAGGAAGAAAGGCAGAAAGCTAGTCACATTTGGCACTTTATTTATGTAATGGATTATGGTCATGCTTGAGGTGCTTGTTTGATTGCTAGTTATTTGGGTTTTGTTTGTTTGTCGAGAAAATAAGGAAAGAAAAAATGAGTAGTCACACTACCTTATTAGGAAATGGAATGGCTTCATCGTTTGCTTTGGTTTTGGGATTTGTAATGTATTATTACTATTTGTTTTGTTGGGAAAATGAGGGCAAAGGAAACAAAATGGTTGGAAAGAAACCAGATTGGTCATGTTACCTCAGGGCTACAGTCACATTGAACTATGATTTGGTAAAGGTCATAGGGGCCTAGGCCGAGCAAGGACCACCTACTTTGATGGCTTTCAAACGTAGATTATGTGCTGTTTGGGTTTGGGGTCTCTACTGCGGCTGGTGGGTACTTAATTGCCCTGTGTTTTTGCTGTAAAAATCTTGTCTTTTGGTGAAGAGGGATGACTTTGCTTCTTTGAGTCCATGAAAATGTTTATATGACGCTTCCTTCAAATTTAAGTGTAATTAAATTGCAAAAAGGACGCATTGTCTTTCATAATCCATGAGATCACATCTAGAAATTTATGCTTTTTTTTATAACTACATCTATCAGAGTCTACTGCCTACAAAATTTTCCCCAAAAAAAAAAAAAACAAAAGGAAAAAAGAAAATAAAGGATCATGCCAATATGTGACATTGCGGTAATTCAAGTCTCTGTTTAATATGGGAGGAAATGCTTGATTAATTTTCTCAGTACTGATTTTTGGGTGATTCTCATGCGTGCATCAATGTTATGCAGTGAAAAGATGATAAAAATACTATGAACTAAAGCTTATTTAAGTAAAAAAGTTGCTTTTTATGAATGAGTTGTATTCCATGGGTTTTGCTTCCCGACTTACGTTGTCAAAATCCAACAACTTGATCAGTTGGCAGTTCTACGGTCAACTAACTATCCTGTCCACCCTAGATTTCATAACATAAATTCCTGTTAATTAGTGTGGCTCATTCCATGCTTCGTGTTAGCAGGCACGAAGTCATTTTTTGAACATTTCATAGCAGAGATAGGTGGCACTGCTGGAATGGTGATCATTCTCTATCCCTCTAGGCAGTATTTTTACCTGAGACTATGTGGTTCCTTAAGAACTCAATTTTAAGGGGATATTGCTGAATAGTTTGCTGGAATCTATTTGCAACCTTTTGTTTTATTGATAGGTCTCCTTTTCGAGTCAAATTGTGTCTACAAGAGCTATAATATGATAAGCTGCAGAGGTTAAGTTGGCACCACCAGTTGAAAGTGAAAGAAAATTTTCAAAAATTCTTATATTTGTGTTTAATTGCGGGTGTTGTGATCCTGAGTTTATGGATATATTGATTATGTTTCCCATCACAAATAATTATTTTTGACTGCCCAAAATATCCCTCCCCTTAGAGCCAACCATATCTTGAATAATTCAGATTCAGCGTATGTTGCACGGTATATTATCTTTGGGATAAAAGTTTTATTTGAACTATTGAATTTTATGTGACAAAATCGGGTAATGTATTTTTCGACATAAACACTTAATTGCCTCCAACTTCATTTTGCAGGTTGCATTACACATGGATTGATATAGGTACACCAAATGCATCTTTCCTTGTTGCACTGGACGCTGGAAGTGATCTGCTTTGGGTTCCTTGTGATTGTATACAATGTGCTCCCTTGTCTTCGAGTTACCACTACATGTTGGTAGGATGGTTTCTATATTTGTTCTCCTTTTCATGGTCAACTTTGTCTAAAATCTACAATTTCTATATTTTCCACTGATTTGTGTCTTTATATGGAAGTGTCAGTTATTTGTTCTACTTTCCAGAAAAAAGAAATCAGTTATTGATACTTTGGCAGATTACATATGCAAAGGAAATTTGGATAAGCTGGAAACTACAGGGTCCGTGTGTTGGCAGCGTCGCCGTTGCAAATGATTCTCCTTAACGTTTATTGGTTTATCTACCACTTACGGTCATGTGCTCTATAGAAAATTGAGTTTCTCATTAATGCTTCTACTCAAATGATCCCACCATTTTTTTCGGTTCCCAGATACATTTTAGGTGCTATGGCAGAAAATAGCCAGTAATCGGACATGCAACAAACTAAATTTATAAAGTAGTTGTTTTATTTTCTTTGCCCTCATTTTCTTTCTTCTTCACACAATGGTATTACTTCATTCCTGCTTACTAAAGTTTAGTAATTGGTCCTTAAATCAATGGCAGAGATTATATATACCAGCAAAGGTGGTATTCTGTGTAATGCAACCTTTGTGCTTTTCTATATTTGTTTAGTGTGTTATCCATTTTTTATTTGTTAGTTGCTCAGTTCATGCCAACATGTGAGCTAGAAATATTTGCTTCAACTGACATGTGGAGTAGCTTAGCTAAGAATTGGTCATAGGTTTAGCAGTTGATTCCAATGATTGATTGGCAGGTGCTCCCTCATATTTGGGGCATCTATTGTGCAGGATAGAGATCTGAGTGAGTATAGCCCCTCCAAATCAAACACTAGCAAACGCCTATCTTGCAGCCATCAGCTATGTGAAGGCAGTCCAAACTGCAAAAGTCCAAAGGAGCCCTGCCCTTATATTGTTGACTACTTATCGGAAAATACCTCAAGTTCTGGATATCTTTTCCAGGACCAATTACATTTGGCATCAGTCACTGGACATGGACCTCAAAGCTCGGTGCAGGCTTCAATTATCATAGGGTGTGTGTATTTTGTTTTCGTCATACGTTCAGGTTCCCAGCCTCATTGGTTTGACTATCATAGGGTGTGTGTATTTGGTTTGACTTTTTCCCCCAGAATCGGTGCATCAACTTACAGTGGGGCTTTTTGCTGTTATCTTTATCATGTGATGCAGGTGTGGAAGAAAACAAAGTGGCAGTTATTTGGATGGACCTGCTCCTGATGGTCTTTTGGGATTGGGACCTGGGGACATTTCTGTCCCAAGTTTACTGGCCAAATCCGGATTGGTCCCACATTCATTCTCGTTTTGTTTTGACAAGACATATTCTGGAAGAATTTTCTTCGGTGACCAAGGGACTGCTACTCAAAAATTTACTCCATTTGCACCTTCAGAAGGAAAATAGTATGTCTGTCCATAGACTAACCTTTGATATGTGTGGTGTGCTTTCTGTAACCGGCTTTGTGAATTGTTTCAGTACTGCCTACATTGTTGAAGTGGAGCATTATTGTGTTGGGAATTCTTGCATTAAGCAAACTGGATTCCTCGCACAGGTTGACAGTGGGTCATCTTTCACATATCTTCCATATGGAATATACCAGAAAGTTGCCATGGAGGTACTTCTTTTGTTTGATACTCTAATCGATATTCATCTTTCGATCATGTTGCCTAACTGTCATATTTTCGGTCATAGTTTGACAATCGAGTGAATACTAGAAAGTTTGGCATAGAAGGATTCCCCTACTGCTATGAAGCCAGGTAAACTAGCATGCAAGATGAAAGGTGTTTTAAGGCATTTTCTTATTTTACTAGAGCTGATTATCTGCTGCTCTTTCTGGTACAGTTCACAGGAATCCCTTAATACTCCTAGCTTGGAAGTCAAGTTTGCTACAAACCAAAGCTTTGTGATCCAGAATCCCATGTTTCAGATCCCTCACTCTCAGGCGAGTAATTATAAATTTGAGCTTCATCTTCTGAATGTAGACTGAAAGACTATACATTAATGTTGCATGTACATAGAACAAGTGAATCCCAAATGTTGCAGTCCCTAGATGCATTTTGGAGACATATAATGTTAAAAACAAATCCACAAAATCCAACCACTTCTGTATTCTGCATCACAATTCCATGTTTTCTCAGAGATTGCTATGCATAGTCATCCACAAGTTCAAGGAAGGCTCTAAAATTATGTGGGTGCTTTCAAAAGATGATGTGATATCAAATGTTTCTTTCCTTATTTCGGGCTACTAGAAACTTCCCAGTTCTCATAAATGGGTGCCCACATGTGCTTGCATGAAGAACAAAACGTTATTAACATTGTTTTTATTTTTTATGACTTTAAGACTCTTTCAGGTGTTTTATACAAAAGGTAACTGAATCCACTCCGATACTTGGCCTTCCTATTATGAAATTCAATGGCATACTCTAATTGTCCTTATTGTTATGACAACTGTACTTGTTTCCTACTTCTAACATTGCTCTGCTGAAGTTGAGAGTTATTCTAGAAGCCCGTAAAAATCAGTGTAGATGATCTAAGTTCTATTCATTCAGCTTTTACGCAAAAAATGTTCCTTCTTTATATTCCCTTCTTGCTCGATATTTCTTTTGTCTTACTATTGTTGAACTCAGATAACCCTAACGAAATATCAAACATGGTCGTTCAACTTTCTCTAGAGCATTTGCTTTTCTGTTCTTGAAGTGCAAAAAGTTGTTCATGCAAAACAATATCTTGCAGAGGACTTACCATTTGTTCGAATTTCTGGATGCAGGGACTCGCTGTATTCTGTTTGGGTATACAACCTATAGATGGAGGAATTGGTATCATTGGACGTGAGTACTCTTCTCTGCCAATTCTCACATCTGAACTGTTATTTTAACCTTTGCAACTGTTGGTTGTCTCTCTCTCTCATGTGAAACACGAGCCTCGTACAGTCTCTGAATGACTCCCAATCAATGTGTATTTTGCAGAGAACTTGATGATGGGTTATCGCATTGTGTTTGACATGGAAAACTTGAAGTTGGGTTGGTCTCATTCCAATTGTGAGTGACTTCTTTTCTTCCTTACTTCTTTAGGTGATATTGGAATAGCGAGTGGTCTAATTAAGGTTTGGACTATAAAGGGAATTTTAAAACGTAAACATATAAATGTCAAGTGCCGGGTGTAGGGTAAAACTAACTTTCTAATGCTGTCACCTTGGTGCAACCCGTTGCCTTATACTTTCCAATTTTTCCCATCAGGTAAAAGATTGCCTTCCATATGCAGGTTATATTGCATTGTCTATGTTGAACTAAAATAGACCATCCTGTGTCTGCAGGTCAAGATGTCAGTGACGGTAAGAAAGTTCATCTTACACCACCTCCAAGTGATAAATCACCAAACCCATTGCCAACCAATGAGCAACAGAGCACCCCTAGACCTCATGCAGTTGCACCCGCTGTTGCCGGGAGGACTACCTCAGAACCCTCTGCTGCCTCCTCCCTTCAGATTCCTTCTGGGCACTGTACAGTGAGTTTGCTGCTGCTACTTTTTTCTGTACATTCTGGCCGTCTAATCTGATTGTGGCATTTCTCTATGTCTACCTGTAAATCCCTGTATCCTATTTTCATAATTCAGTGGATTGGTTGGGGTTTAATTAAAAGTCAAATTCATGTTATTTTGGAACTTCTACTAAACATTTACAGGTTTCTCTTTCTTCTGGTTATGCTTTTGAATATCCTTGCCAACAATAACGCATAATATTGCTGCTAGGTTCGTCAGATCTAGTTCAACCCTGTTATTGCACACAATTTTTATTAACAATATATGGCGAGGCTTTCAGAATTTAGGAAAGTAGCACTCAGAAAAGTTCATGATAAAATTTGACAGAAAGCTAAGGGAGATTCGATGACCTAATTTCCTTGATTGAGATTGCCAATTTGTCTGATGATTAGATGGAGACATTCACAAGAAGTCAAACCAAGGTGCATGATCTGTTACACTGAATTATGATATGAAATGTTGCATTATTGAATGCGGGTCCTCCGTGTTTAAGCTTGTGGTTGATGCTAGTTCTTTTTGTTAAAGAAGACGAGGGTGGGTCTTGGTGTAGGCATAATGTTGCTCCATTGTTTGATTCTCAAAAACAGTCTCTATGCATGCGGGATAAGATTGCGTACGCAAGAAATTACTCAGACCTTGTAGGAATAAGAGTCTTGTGCATCAGGCTATTTTTATTTTTTTTAATTGAACTTTGAGGCAGTTTTGATGCCTACAATGGAGGAAGTTGAAGTAATGTAGGCCTAAGGGCTTATTTGGACAGTCTAGGTACGCAAAATAAACAGTTTTGATGATCTAAGGGCATGAAAGGTGCTGATTGATTGTTGATATCCATTACTAGCTCCAATATTAGCACACTTGGAATGCATTTGAGCACACATGATTTTGAAATCAAGCTTGCTTCCCAACAAAGAAAAAAATTCCGCTCTCAGATCATCTCATGTTGAAGGTGTATCGTGTCACAATTTTGTTGACATCTGCTCGATTTATTTGATTCTTGTCATGATTCGTACATTTACATCGGGTTCAACAAACAGCATTAGTATAATGGACCTACCGTGGTAAAGTTTATATCCGAATTTTTTGATTTTGTATGGGATTAATAGATCGTGTTTAGAACTGTCAATTCTGTAGACTGTGCTGTTACTTGCAATGACAGGGACGTGGATGGGTATGGCAACGGCGGCCACATCGCCTTGTACAAACGTTTTGCATTTGGGATGACGTGAAAATAGTCCGTAGATGGGATGGTTCGCTATAAGGGCCCTTTTGGTGGGTATAATGCAGAGCATGGCGTGAGGGCTGACCAGCCAACACACAAGAAAGCTACGCATCAGTAATATTCAATTTTGTGAATAGTTCACTCCACTAGATGCTTCTGCCCTTGTTCTTCTTAGTTGGTGGGCTTCACAATGCAAGTGGAGTATATCCCTATCCCTATACCTATCCCTATCCCTATCCCTAACGTTTTTTTTTCTTTTCATCTTAGCGTTTAATCAGACTTGGAGCAATGCTTGAGATCCTAAATCAATAGGGACCATTGGATCAGTGGGTTCTATTGAAAAAATTTGATGAAATTCACTCGTTCAATGATTTCTGTTAATTTGAGATATCATTTAGAATCTCAAAATTTGAAATGCAAAGTATTTACCGTTAAAGGGTGAGTGCCGATATGGAACGGACAGTTCATATTAGGTTTTGCAGTTTGCGTTCGAGCTTCCCAACTCCAAATATCCTAATATATTAGAGTCGTAATGGCTGAAAAGGTTGTACCTATGCATTTGTAATAATTGGTATTAGAATTAGTCACTACGTCAAGTATGAGATTGAACACAATATATGTTTGGATTCTTTGTAAGAGACAATTTATAGGTAAGATTAAGATAATTTGGTATTATGTTTGAGTATAGTGTTATCACATTGACTACTAATAGGTGAGTAGGTCATCGTGGATGTCGACTACGGAATCGAGATAAAATGTCAAAATTTCACGTTGATATAATATAAGATTAGATATGTGTATATGAACTTTTGGTTACTATTTTTTTACGAGTCAATTTTCAAAGGCAAATTTTATCCACAATGCACAATATTCTCTCATATATAGCCTAGAAAGTTAAGTGATTGGTAGACTACATTAACTTGCAAGAAGTATACGTATCTTAAGCAGCATAGTATTGAGTGAACGGATGGCATGACCCTGCGGGTCAAGCCTATCGAACACCACCATGTAAATCAAGAAGTTTTTTTAATCCTTTTCTTTTGCGGTACTCTGAATCAGGCAATTTGGATTTGGACGGTGCACTGAATTAAATTATAGGTGGTCTGTTGGATTAAGTATTTATTATGAGGATTGACCGACAGGAAGTTAGAACAAAGGAAAACCCCAAAACGGTTGCAGTGTTCTTTTTCTCGTATACCCAACAAAAAATAAGGATAAATTCTTTTGAGCCTGGTTAAGATTGTCTGGAAATCCTTAGACAGCTAGCATGTGATGTGACCTCTCTATCCGTATGAGTTTACAAATATCCGATCAGAGACCAAACCCAAAAAAAAAAAAGAAGCAAAAGAAAACCATTGAAGAATTTAAACACCTAGATATATATCATAAATATTTTTTTTTTTTTGGTTTAATGGTCACAGGTGTTCTCAGGCTAATTTACGTGTATTTTAATTAATTTTTTTTCAATTTGGTCAAAAAAAGGTCATTTATGCCAAAATTAAAAATTTATGAGAAATAAAAAAAATTAAAAATAGTTAAATTTGTTTTTGGCAAGTATACTCTACTCTATTCTTTGCCCGGTCTTTCTTTTTTGTTAGCATTGAGAAAACCACGCAAACGACCCGTAGGATTGGCGTGGGGTCATGTATTCCAATTCAAAAGGTGGACGGTCATACGATCAAATCTTATCAATTTCATTGGCTAATTTGGTGGTGTATGCGGAATCGTGGTATTGCATGTGCCTCCAACGGTCAGACAGGTGCTCTGAAAAACAAGACTAGCAATATTTTTTTTTACTACAGGTTTTTAACTTGGATCGACTATTTTTTCAAATTCAGTAGCCAACCATCATGACTTAAATTACATTAAAACATGTTTCTAAAAAGACAAAAGTGACTTATCCTTAAGAGAGTGTGAGAAAAAATTAAACTTGAAATCTTTACGTTACCAAAGGCTAAACTCAATTACTGAAACACCTTTAAGAGTTACAAGAGTGGTAATATAGTTTTCTTGAATAAATACTTAAAATGGTGGGAGGAAAGGAAAAACGAATGAAGGAAATGGATCGCTTTATACAATGTTTTGGAACCATGCCAACCATTGAATAATTCCTTCGGAATACTGTTACTATTGATAACACTTATGTATGATAGAAGATGACATCTGATTTCTTACTGCATCTCTTTCTCTCTAAAATTATACCGTGGCTTTTCCCAAAAAAAAAAATTAGATCTACTCTAGATAAAATCAAGGTCCATTCTTGAGCAATTAATACAACTGGAAAGGATTTGTTAGAAAAATTATTATATGATAGGATGATGAGATTCGAACCCGCAATACTATAATCTAAGAATAAAAATAGTGGTCATTAGATAACCACAAACCTTAAAACAAATTAATATATCATGATGTATATATATAGTCACTTGATGGCTACAAATCACAACTATATCACCTAATTGACCTGTGGTTACCCACATCTCAGTTGGGTCTGTACATTTTTCATTCGTCAAGTCCTTACGTAATATCAACGATCTATAAATAAGATGGTGTTTTAAAATACTCCGTGATGTACCCTGCCTCTTTGAATAATTGAATATACTTATCTTTTATTTAATTAAAGAACTCCTGCCCTAGATAGCTGCCACGTGTCTCACCTGCCATACCAGAGTTTGTGGCCTCATTTATTCCCTCTCTCTCTCTCTCTTTCTTTTCAAAGTCCCACCGTCCAATCGAACCCTAACCCAATCAACCAGGCAACTCAGAAAGTCAAAAGTGGACAACGGCTAGCTAGTAAACAAAACCCTTTAAATTGGTGCAAAGCCACTGTACCATTACCATCCTGATCCAAGTGGTGCCTATATCAACCCTCCGAAAATTCTCTCTCCATGTGTCACGAGGATCTCTTTCCACACTACCACTTGATGATGCCATCCAAATCCATCATAACACCAATTATGCACCTCTTTTTTATTTCCCTTTTTTTTTTGATGTTGAAAACAATATTCTTTGATAATGCACATAGTTTTTGTTTTTTATTATCTTTTTTTTGATGTTGAAAACAATCTTTTGGTTTAAACTTTAGTAGTAGTAGGGTCTCTCTCTATATAACTTTTTCCTTTCGTGTACCCCAAGCATGAAATGCTCTTTTGTTGGACTTTGGCATGAAATGGTCTTTTAGTATAGGGTATTTAATATTAAAAAAATACTATTTACACTTAATTTAGAGGCCAACCAAGGTATAATAAAGAAGCTATATATGCACTCGTATTAAGATTCAATTTTGTTGTTTTCTAGTTTTATTCCCTCGTTACTTTACTTTCCAATTTAACTTTTTTTTTTTCAAATTAATGATTTTTTCGATTCAAGTTGTAAGGGTTCTATTCCCCTCCATGGAAGGATTCTGACTGATCTAATGAGTACTTCCTCCACAGTAAGTGGTCATTTATATGACCGGGGAAGAGACGACTCTCTCCTAATGTGGGACGAGAGGTAAAGGTTACTGGGTGGTCATCTAGGTTAGCCACAATCCTATCATGGAGGGGAATAGAACCCCTTACACAAGTGTAGTTTAAACTCATACCTTTCAATATAAAGGGTGTTCAATACAACTTACAAACATGTTTTTTCGTTGAAAAACGTGTTTTAAATCACACTTTGTTAAAAAAAAAAAAAGAGTAATATTATTTAGACTTAAATATTTGACATAATCCTATTGATCTAATGATGTGTCAGTGAGATTATCCAATAAAATTATTATAGTTTTAACTATTAAACTTTTATTGGGATTCTATACCATTATAACAAATTAAGTTAAATTTTTAAGTCTCAACAATAAATTTAAAAAAAATATTATTGCAAGAAATAATTTGCAAATCGGGATAATTTGGATATATGAGGAAGGAGAGAGAATAGGAGGTCTGTTTTTTTTGGGGGGGTTGGGTGGTGGTGGTGTTGGTTTGATTTAATACCTTTTTTCTAGCAGCACGCAATGCCTACTTAAGAAGGGTGGTGGTTAAAAAAAAGGATTACACAAAACAGCTTGACTGTGTTAATAGAGCTGTATGCCTATATCTTTTTCTCTCTTTAATTTATGTATGGTGCCTTGACTAAGGTAAGGAAGGAAGAATCCATCAAGTTGAAGAGAAGTTTCCTGCAGTTTCTAGGTGAGCCCCACCTTATTAATTTATGTAGGCTCAATCTTACCCTTGGATATTTTCTACATTACCCCCCATGCTGTCTATATATTGATGTGTATCCATGCAAACCAACCATCAAAACCATAACAACTTTTCTCACCAATCAGCTTCTCTTCTCTATACACTTCTGTAACTCTCTTGCATTCCAAACCTGTAAAGAGTTTCTCTATAGCTCTTTTCTGCAATCTTAGTGTTAGAAAGCTAGCAAGTGTTGTGTTAATTAGAATCATCAAGTACGAGACCTGAGAGAATAAAAATGGGAGTTGCTGGCACCTTGGAGTACTTGGCTGAAGTACTGAGCAGTACCAGGAGGCGCAAGAAGAGGAAGCAGCTAAATACTGTATCTCTCAAAGTCAGGATGGACTGTGAAGGCTGTGTGCGTAAAGTCAAGAACACACTCAAGTCAGTCAAAGGTATTGTTCCTTCTCTCCCATGCCTTCATTTCTCATAGTCTGGGTAATATATATGCATATACATGCATATGGATATGGATAAAGGAAAGTTACTTATATCCAAACATTTAGCATCGGTCTTAGCTCTCTTTTCTTTTCTCGTAACTTAACTTTAGTGAGGTATAATTTAACCCAAAAAGTACATAATTTGACATAAAAAATAGTAATTTTTCGTGTAATATCTTTATCCGTGCCATAATTGGATATCTATGCTTATCTAAGATATCTATGTAATATGTATATACACACAGGTGCATAGTTGACATACTTGTGTTACTAAACTTGTGTATATCACTGGGGCTGCAGGAGTGAAATCCGTGGATGTGGACTTGAAGCAACAAAAGGCCACAGTAACAGGGTACGTTGAAGCCAAAAAAGTGTTGAAGGCGGCTCAGTCAACTGGGAAAAAGGCTGAACCATGGCCTTATGTTCCATACACAATGGTGGCCCATCCTTACGTTGCACAAGTTTATGACAAGAAGGCACCTCCAAATTTTGTGAGGAAGACTGAAGACCCAGCCATTGTCAATCTAAATCCAGTGGAAGAACAGTACACCCTTATGTTCAGTGATGAAAACCCACATTCCTGCTCTGTCATGTAGATACAAGTATTGAACCCTCCAAGTTTTCTTTTTGTTTGTTTGTTTGTTACAGTTATACTGCATTGCGGAGTGAATTAGCACCCTAGTTTTGTATACAATGGAAGCAGTTTTGTTACTACTAAGGTAGAAGATGTGTAGATCACTTGGAGTTTGTAAAAGCAATTAAGGTAGATGTTTTAAAGGTTTTTTAAAAAGTTTGTGTAAATGAAGTTTCTTTACTTCTATTGAAAAAATTGAAACTTTATAGGATCAATGATGGTTATGAAAAATGGAATTTATTATGAGACACATGACGTTGGATTATATAATTTTTTGTGAAATATGGAGTGAATTTATTTTCAGGTTGGAGCTCTCAAAGATATATCAATCATAAGTATTTGATCATTAAATACATATAATCGTCTTTTAAAATTATCGACATTTAAATATCTAATTTTTATAAATTTCTTTCTTTCTATTTAGATCTCTTTAAAGGCGAGCAAGAAGGTTTTTGAAGTGACATTAAGGGACTAGTAATATGGGCTTTGCCTGATCCTATAGTTGATGTAATAATTCACATCCTGGTTTGCCAATCATTACATGCTTGATTACAGTTTTGGCTCGTTCTTGTAAAAAGAATAGTACCATGGAAATTTATTTGCTTATGGGTTCTTACTCGCGGATGATTAAGGAGATAGCGTCATCCTTGTTATTACTATTTTTATATGATTAAATTAAATCAATAAATTAAGTGTTAATATCATTATTTATTTCACAATGGAAAATGCTATTTCTACTTAATCTATGAATTTAATTTGGAGATCTAATTCATCATAACTGTTGAAAAAAAGTGTGTTCTATCTAAGATTAGTGATATAAAGTGTGTTCTATCTAAGATTAGTGATATAGAGACTTAATTTGAGATCTAATCAAGAACTTAATTCATCACAACTATTGAATTAGTTATTAATTCCAATATTAGATGGAGCATGCTTTTGATCCAGCAACTTTGATTGTAATGTCCCAATATTAGGTCCCCAAATAACATTTTTCTATGTCCAATATTGAGACTTACTGTTGATCTAAATACTATAATGAATTAGGTCCCGAATTAATCAAGTTACTTCGCTCTTTTGCAATAGGTTTTTGGTACGAGTAATGTTTAAGGAGAATTATTATTTTTTTATTATGGTCAAAGGTGTTTAGATCAGTTTAGACTATGTTCAATGAAAACCTAAACCTTTACCCAAATTTGAGTAGACAAAAAGGTAAAAAAACTTGATTTGATATAGACATCTCCAAATTTAAAAAAAGAGAAATTTAAATTTAAATAAAGAAAAATTTAAATTTAAAAATGGGTAAAATATAATTATTGGATCTTTAAAAGAGGGTGTAATCTCATAATTAAATATTTGAGTTTTGATGATGCAAACTAACGTGGGCGAACAGAGTTCGTGGGACCAAAGATGAATCTAGATTATCAACTTCATAATGACAGAGATTAAGTTTTTCTTAGAGGGTAGGAGAATTTGCACAGTAAGAATATAGTGGTTCACCGGCTAAAAGCTCGGCTAATCCACTCTCTAATGGAAACTCTTGCACCTTTTATTTTCTCTCTTGATTTCTCGATTGTCTTATGATACAATGCATCATCTAATTAGGGTTTTTCTAGTCGATGAGGCCTTACATTATAAGGCTGCTCCCTATTATGTGGTATTTCAGCCGAGATCTTTGCCAAATTATTCATGGGATCCTCCTTGATTTTAGGAGAGAATCTCGGTTGGTTAAGAGTTTCATGCATTGGGTTCAATTTCCGCAGTCATCCAGCGGTTTTCTGGTTGGTCCTGTCACGATCTCTCAAAGGGGAGCTCTACCTCTGATTTTCTAAGTTCCCCGTGTCTTTCCTGACCTGAGCTCACAGTTAGGACTTTTTTGAGGTATCATCAAGTTTAAAAAATGATCTCTCTTGATTTGGGTTTAAAAAAAAGTTTTTCTCCATTTAGTATGAGTATGAGTCAAGTATCAGACTATCTTCAATCCTTATCATTTTTTAAAAAAAAGTAAAAAAACTCTTAAAAAATTTTCTTTAATATTAGAACCATATTCATATCAAATGAAGGAAAATCTTTTTTTAAATTCAAATCAAGGGAGACATTTTTTTTAAATCCAAATCTTTAATAGTGATACTGCACTATCCGTTAAAGATCTAATAGTTTTATTTTATTTTTTTTAAAATTTGGGTTTGTCTTCATATAAATTTAAGTTTCTTTTCCTTTAAAAAATAGTTTATTCATTAGAGATGTCTATACCAAATCAATTTTTTTTTTTAACTCAAATTTTGGTAAGGGTTTAGTTTCCATTAGAGATGCTCTTAAAAAAACATTTTTGACTTTTTTTTACCTAAATTTAAATTTGGATACAAAAAATAAAATAAAATAAGAATTGAAAATACTCTTATATACACCTCAATTAATTTTTTCTTCGATTTGAATGTAAAGACAAGTCATCCACTTTTAAATCACTTTGGAAAAGTGGTCCATGGATTCCCTCCTTGCCCAAATGCAGGGATGCACGTTGAATGCAGCAAGAATTGGGACTTCCATAGAATATTCCTTTCAACCTTTGATTCAACTATATCTTAAATAGAGGGAGTTCTCGTACAAGAAAATCAAATTGGAAACCGACCATTTGAAAAATATTAAATCTGGAAATAGATAATTTATCTTTATTTTGTAGAGTTTGATTTTCTGGATCAAACCCGTGAAGTATTGCTTAGACAGATGAATACTTATTATTAGGCCAAAATCGATTGTTCGATTAAAGCTTGAGATGTCAAGTTCCATTTTGTTTCTCCAACTCATAAATTGAAAGATATGGAATCTCATAATCAAAAAACCAATTTAGCCACTGAGAGTACATAGGGTTGAAACATGTATTTCAACGCTGAAAAGCAAATCCATAGAATATAACTGGAAGCCAAAAGTATTATTTCTACTAGTATTACAGTATTGTTATTGGATTGACAATTGATCTATCAAATATTAAAATTTATTACTATTTTAGCAATATAATGCATTAATTTTTTTTAAATTAGATCGTGAAATTAAATATGAATATGAATATCATTGTTATGTTTATTTTATTTTATTTTGGTAATCTTGCACAAAAATATAAGATAAAAGCATACTTGCAATTCAGAAAAGTTACTTGGAAAATGTTGCATGGCACAAAAGCAATATATCTATTCAGGGTGCAGATTCTCTTTTAGTAAGTGTTCTATTTGTGGACTACATGGCTCTGGTGATACACTGCATCTGCACTTGCGTGTATGTATTTAGCTGTCATTGTCATATCATTCACAAAATCACCCCCAAGAAGCCATGCGATTGGCTTTCCAAAAAGCCCTTTATGAATGGAAGTCACAATAACAGTCATAGTTTTCCTAATCATCTCTATTCCGGTAATCACAAGTGTGTCGTGCATTCGATTCACATGAACAATACGATTTGTTGTTTGATTTTAGTGGTGCTATGGTGATAGACTGCTTTTTTAAATTAGTAACTTTGACTAAAACCAGACATTCTATGGTAAGAGGCTTTCATGGTCACGCATTGGGGGATTACTATTTACTGATCGTCTCTTCCTTTTTTTTTAACTAAAAAAAAAAAGAAGGGTATGAAAAAAGCTATCACCTATTCAATTTGGTTTGACATTGTATATCCCATTTGAAAATGTCATGGGTGACGAATTGGATTAAAGCAGAAGTGGTTGAGAATACTAACCCTAACCCTATATTTGTTTTGGAGTGAAAGAAAAGGAAAATACAAAAGGGGGTGTAAAATTTTTAAAATTGTTCTCCCCCACTTTCTCTTCCCTTCCTTCGATCCTTTCCCTTCTTTTTCTCCCAAACCAAACATAGCAAACGAAAAAAATAGAATTCCAATACATTTATAGTCCAAGGAGTTCCATTTCTGGGTTCTTAGCAAAGGGGTGCAAAGCTAATTACAATTGAAGTCTCTGCAACTGTGGATGGTTTGTCATGGAAAATTGAATGAGAGCAAAAGTTAACAGCTGAACATTTTTAGATGGGCTACATTTTTGGGATGGGCCTGACCTTGATTGTTCAATCCAATCTTCAGAGAACTGGCTGTGCCAAATTTATATTGAATCGTACTTGGGCTCTAGAATTAGGCCCAAAACTTTGTGCTGCGTGGCCCTCAACTCTAGTTTATTAAGTAACTAGTCGTGTATAGTGCAAATCACGTTTTTTTTTTTTTTTTTAAATATATGGGTTGAATTGCTGTGGTTAAAAGATATAAAATACTGTAGTTAGAACTTAGAAGGTTTTTTTGGATAGAAACAGTAGGAATTCGATTAAATAAAAATATCGGAGAGGAAGATGGGCACAATGAAAGATGGTGCCTCCTTCTCCCATACAACCACACAATCAACATTAATAGCGTGTTTAGCTAACTTATGAGCTATCTTATTCCCTATTCTTCTATTTGTAGATACAGAATAATATCGAAAAGAACGTGACTAAATCTTATATCTGCTAAAACAGAGTCCAAGGGATCAAAATCATTGTCTACATCTGTGAGCGTCTTCATCATGTTAGTGGAATCCCCTTCCAAGACAATTCCATCATAGCCTCGTTGCACAGTAAAGTGGATAGCCTCTCTAGCAGCTAAAATTTCTACTATTTGTGCCACACAGGGGAGATGACTTTCCTAGACAAGCCAGTAACAAAAATACCTCATTTGTCTCTTATTACCACGCCTACTCTGATCGCTCCTTCTGCTTCGAACACAACTCCATCAAAATTAACCTTTAAAGAGCCCATACTTGGGGGGAACCACATAGAGGTGGTGTCTGCTATTGCTGGTGCCAAGACAATGGACCCCGCTGCTTGTTCGTATTGTATGATATATTCAGTTGCCTTATAACTTAATGACACAGGGTCCCTCTTCAAATTCTGAAATAGCACTTCGTTTCTATTCTTCCAAATTAACCAACAATGGACCAAGAATAGGGAGAATTGATATGGATTCATTTGCTGTGATATTTCCCACAGCCAACTATTTGGCCTGTAGGGCGCTGCAACAGGTAGTTTAGTGGACTAAATTCCCATGAGTCGCTGGCCCAAGCACATTCCATCACCATATGCATCACAGTTTCAGCTTCCTTTCCACA